GGGAACAACACGAGACTAGTCAACAAAATGTTCTGAAATCACACAACAGGTAAGATATTGGAATTTTTTGACACTCTAAGACTAGAAAACATTGACGTGGACTATAAACTTTAATGAAATCTTTCCAGATTTACCACAAAAACCTATGAAAGTGACAGTTCTTTGGGCTTTAAATGACAATAAAATCATAGTTCTCATCCTGTTAAACCACTTTTAGTAAGATAATTACAAGAATGTAAATAGCAGAAGAAGATATGCTACAGCAGGTAGCAAATAGTTACAAGTCAGAACTCCACATCCATTATTGATTGAGTGAAATATCTTCTTTCTAATATACTGTATTTAAAAATAGTACTAGTTTTTTATTGGACATAATAAGAGAGAAATTAGTTTGAACAAAAACAAAAATAAAAACACTTAAAAAAATGTATTGTTATACCATCATTTCAAATTTAAAACTGTTAAGGGAAAAACAAAAGCTAGGAGAATTGTACTGGCTGTAAGAAAGGGAAAAAATATTCCAAATAATTTCTTTGGGGAGACAAGAAAAAAGGAAAAGGCCTGTATTCCGCCAGGATAGGAAGTTTCACTTACCACAGCTCTAAGGCATCTTGCTAGGCTCACGCTTACACACGCCAAAGGTAAACACCCTTTCCAAAATACCAGTAAATGTTGATATGTCATTTCTCATAACAAAATGACCTACAATCAGATTACCTGTCACGTCAGGTAGCTGAGATATCCCTCTCAATGCCAGGGCCCAGGCAAGTCTCACAGTGGCTTGCAGCCCAGGCAGTTTCCAAGGCTGTGAGTCTTGAAGGCGAGAGTGAATTGTTGCAATGTATTGTCTCTCTGTCAACAGTGGAAGTTGATGAATCATATCTGAAAATAAAAATAGACCACTCTACTAAAAAGTAGAGAAATTCTCTCTTTTGAAATATAGGAATAATGTCTAAGAATCAGAAAATCAGAGTACTATGGTACTTCAAACAAAGCACAGGATTCCAAATAAATACCAAAGTAATGGGAAATATCACTGACCACCTATAAATTCATCTATTTTACTCCATTATCTTCTTATACTTCCTTTTGATGTCATCTTGTGAATAACTACCTCAGTGGTTCCTAACCTTTAACTAGGAAGAACACATTTTTTATTTAACTTCCTGTATATTTTAAAGTTCCTGTCTATACTATTATACATGAATTAGTAACTCACTTATCCCATTTATTAACAAAGATATACAGAGGGATCAACAAATTGCAGCTAAAATGAGCTCATCAATATAAGGGCCCTAAATTAATATCTTTCCAACCCCCTCTGCTCTTTCTTCTCCTTCTGGGACCCCATTATGCATAGGTTGGCACGCTTTATATTATCCCATAGGTCCCTTATATTGCTTTCATTGGTTTTTACTTGAATACCATCACAACCTAGTGTAAAAAACCTTACATCTTAACCTATGAAACTTTCCAGGCATTCATTCCATTTAGCTTTTAAGAATTCCAGCTTACAAACTTCCATTAAAACAGCGTACATCTACTTGATTATGCGCTTCATTTCATTCAATGCAGGAAAGCTGATCAATGCATTAACTGGCAGCAGGACTATACGATACAGGTGCCACTTACTATGTGACACACAATGTACTATGTGACAATTTGATTGAAGATAAGGGGTAGTTGTGTGTTAAATAAGCCTTTCGTAGTGACTAAAGAAGATCACCTAAGAGGAGTGGAAAATGTACCCTGTTCACATACCGAATGGGAGGAGACTGGGATGATACAATCAAAAGCAGACAGGAGATTATTGTTGGAAAAACTATAAATATTTATGACATTAAGTGGCAATAATCTTCCTTTGTGGGAATCATTTTTGAGCTCTTCAGTTCTAAGCAGTAACTTTAAAAGATTACCAAGAGAAATTTTATCTCCTTCAAAGAAAAAAAAAGTCAAAGATGATATAGTACTAAAAATTAAAGTCATCCTCCCTCAGAATGTTTTCATGAAAGGTTTACAATGTGAATAAATAATAAAGGAACAAGTAATTAGGTAAATTAGGCATGCATAACTCACGAACATATATCATACATCCTTTAACAATTTTCCATCCCCAAACCCCAAAGACATTAGAAACATCTAACAAGGTTGCAATTACTTTAAAAATGTGATCTTATATCTAAATATTCAAATATTGATGAATTATATACAAGGGAATAAAACATCCAATTTTTAATTTTAGTTATTAAACTATCACCTTTCTTAAATGTTATCTCCACAATTAAATCTGATTTTTTGGAAACAAATGTATTAATAGGTACAAAATCCAATACCATCACGTTCCTCTGTGCTTTGTTCTATAAAGCTGATATCAAAGCAGTACAGAAGTGCCATAAGAAGAGCCAGGTTCACTGCATCCAATGAGCCATTGGCCTCAACTGTCACTCTTTCCAGATGTCCAATAAGGAGCAGAGTGTCATCTTTGCCTAAAGGTGATTGGCAAGCCCAGGCAAAAAGGCTTTCTGCCAGAGACTGCCTGCACTCCTTGATGAGATCAGAAACCTAGAAATAAAAATGATTATAGGTATAAGTAAGTTACAGTGAAGCCTGATCTTACTGTAAAATGTAAACTATTGCAAAAGCAAACTAAATAAATGAATCTGAATCCAAAGTGACCCTAAAAATCTCACCCCTGAAATTCTGAACATATTCTACTGTTAATTCCTCATTCTTAAGTTCCAACCTCCTCTATAGGACAACTAATTTCTTAAAGAGCTCATTTCAGAAAATGTGCTAGAAAGAGGCTAAAATAGGTGCAAGTCAGTTTCGTGGACACAACTGCTCACACACTTTAATATGCATTTTTAATTTTCCTATGACTGTATTAGTAGAATTTTCTCATAGACGTGACTTTTCTGACTCCAAGATTTGACCCAGACAAGCCATGAATTGATATCATTGAACCCTTGCCTCTTTTCGATGTTTTTCACTGCCCAAACCTCTCTCGCGCTGTAGTTTCTCAAACTCATTATTCACATCAATCTGTGACACCAGAGTAAGAACTTTATAAGTCAATCCTTGCTCCATCAGCTCATCAGTAAACCGTGTTGTCATGGAAACCAGCTCTGGACTGTAACGAAAAGAAATCAATAAAGTTATGATGAGCAGTAATGTTTACACTCCTCAGCACATGGTTATAGAAAATGCTCTTTTGACAATAATGCTGAGTTACTAGAAACAACCAGGATGAGTTATAACCTAGCTCTTTTCATACTTTCTATATCGAGTTCAATAAACTTCTAACCACAAGCAATTGAATTACATTTTACTTGTCAACAAAATAAAGCAGGTTTAAACTATTCTATCATTCTTGGCAGTATAAGGGAGTATTTATCACTCAATGTATAATAAGGAGAAATTTTTGATTCTAAAATTATTATTCTTTAAGCAATTTCTAATTAAAAACAACTCTGAAATCCTAAGACGCAAAAAGACCTGAGTTCAAGGGTCCATGTCTTTCCTCGTCGAGACTGTATCAAGGCTTTCAGGGAATTTGCAATGCATCGCTTTCCATCCCAGTATAAAAGAACAGCTACTAATCCTCTGGTGAGGCCAGGAAAATGAGGCTGTTGGTGCTCTCCTAGAAAAGGAAGTTGAGAAATAATTTAGTAAATAAACACATGTTTAGGCTGAGACAAAAATCACTAAGTCAATGTTCAGTCCAAAAAAATCACATTTCTTAGGGGCTCTAAGGGTCCTCTACTTCAAACACCCACTCGTTGTTTTATTCTCACATGAAATCTTTCAAATATTTGGAAGTTTCTTCCCCTATTCGCTGAAAATTAAATGACATTTTCTTATGTTTCAACTTTTATTCGCCTTTTTAACTGCTCTCCTTTAAATAAGTTCCACTTTGTCTTTTCAAAAGTACCTTGCCTACAGTTTCAGTTTCATTTTCTATGGCTTTTTTTCCCCCTTAGCCCAATCACTCCTCCACTCTACTCCCTTCTGTTCCCCACATTCATGTCACTGCCTCACACCTCTGCACAGGCGATTTCTTCTGCCTGAATGCCCTTTGTCCTCCTGAGTGCACACGTATTCCACATGACATATGCCTATTCATTTTTCAACAACTACCTTAAGTCTCATGATCTTTGTGGACTTCTCTGTGCAATACAAGGTCAATTTAAATGCTTCTCTGGACCATCACTAAACCTTGCATTAATGCACTTACGGTGTCATAATTACTGCTTTCCATGTCTTTCTCAATAACTAGACTATGAGCTCCTTTATTCTAGCTGAGGTTTTATTCATCTTTATATCCTTGGAGTCTTAACACAATGCCCAGCCCATAATATGCATAGAATAAATGTTTGTTAAATGAAGTTTTGAGTTAAACTCAAACTAGCATGTCCAGTTAACATCTGCATTACAGGATAGGAAAACAACTTTTGCACCCTCAATATCACACTTCTTTTAATGCAGCCTTAGGTCAAAAAGGATTTTGGTAGCCACATGATATCTTTAGACATAATCAGACTTTCATCCAGTTAAAATGTCTACCTGGCTTCTTCCCATGGCTCCTCTGTTATAATTACAATGAACTGCATATTTTGTGGAAATTTCAATTTCTTCTCTATATAGCAGCCAGAGAAATAATTTCAGTTATTCCAGATTCTGTAACTCTTCTGCTTAAAGCCTCTGCTAACAACTTCCCGTTGCAATTAGAATGAAATCCAAATAATTTTCATGGCCTGCAAGACTATAATCTGACTCTTGCTCCGGCCTGTCTTCCTTCACTCTCCTCCTCGTTCCTGATGTTCCGGCCAGTGGTCTTTGTATCCTTCAGCATGCCTTTGTTCTCACCGCAAGCTGTCCATTCTCCCTGGAACATCTTTTCCCAACAACTCTGGCATCTTGTTGTCATGCAGGTCTCAGGTCAAATGCCCCAATCTCAGAGAGGCCTTCCCTAAATACCTTACTTACAGTCCCCAACCCTCGCCCCCAAAAACACAGTCCCATCTCTCTATATCCCATTGTCTTGTTTTATTTTCTTCCTAGAACTCAGTATTATTGAAATTATCTTATTCTTTACCTATCCATTATCTAAATCAACCCCCTAAAAAGAGCAGTGACCTTCCCTTCTTACTCATTATATGACAGTAATGGCTTTGTGCTATAAAGCTTCTGAGATGCAGCCAGTTATTCTTTGCTAGTCAATTACCATGAAAAAGTTGATCTTAAAACAGATTTCCTTTAACAACTCTGATCACTAAATTGAAGGTTTCCCACTGGTCAAAGATAAACAAAAGGAAATATTTTGAATATCAAATAAACTACATCCTTAGAAACTATTCTGGAATCCAAATGATACAATATTCCAAATTATAAGAAAATAATTGTATATTTATGTCCTGCCTTACCATAGATTCAGTTAAATGTCAACCTACCAGCAAGGAGAAGTTCAACAGCTGCCAATTCTCCAATATCAAAAAGGTCACTGAGGATAAAGGCCTCTTTAATGAGCTGTTCAGGAAGAAGTCGGGTTCCTTGTTGACCCTGGATGGCAACTCCCTCTGTACTGGCTTTCTGAACCTTCTCATGTTGTTGAACATTTTTTGGCTACAATGATAAAAATAAATTAATAGGATCACATAATGAAAATAGCATAATGGACATAAGGTATTAAAATGTTACCTAGAGAAGTTTATTCATAAAGCAGCCTGGTAACATGACAAACAGGAGTATTTCTTATCAGATAATCTACAATTAGAACCTTATGAGGTAACATTTTATATCATCTTTAACTTTTTATACCATTATTACCTTCTCAATAACCACTTCTGTTAAACTCTGAACTACAAAATGCCAATTATATATTTAATAAATATAAAAACAATAAAGTCTTCAAATGGGAAATAAGAAATGGAAATGAACTGTTGAATTAGTAGGGCTAATGATAGTTTATTAATATGTTATTTTAAAATGTAGTCTTAATCACAAAAAGGCTTACTTGGTGTAAATAACATAGAATATAGGGATGATTCAGTCGATGGATCACAAAATCAAGGTATTTAAACCTTGAAAAAGGCCATACAGTCAATTAATCCAACTCCTCTACTAACATAAGGGAAAACTGATGTCCAAGTCAGGTGACTTGCCTGTGGTCATACAGCTCTTCAGTGGTAGAGCCAAGATTGGAACTCAATTCAAGTGGTTCCCAGGCTATGGCTCTTTCTACTAAAAAATTGTTCTTTTTTAAAAAAGTAAAATAGCAAAGAAGCAAAGAGCCTTTTCTTATAAAACAAACCCCAAAATAGTTCTTAGATAGTCTTGTTAGTCTATTAAAAAAACTTTCAAACAGCAGGGAAAGGAGTTTCCAAATATGAATTCCTTCCACTGAAGTACTCTATCACTGGTTGAAAAGTGTATCAGGATGCAGTAACTAACAATATGTAAGAATTAATTAGTTCAGCTAACACAACTTACATAACATTGTGAAGAGTTAAAATGTTGAAGTGTACCTGGAAATGAATAAAATAATCAATCTTACTAAGCTTACATGTATTAACTATAAGTCAGAAATTCCAAGGAGATTCATGTTTCTGGAATACACTGACCTGTCTAAATCTTAGTCAAGTGTTATTTAGATATCACCTAGCTAGAGATAAACACAATTACTAACTTCTGTGGGGAACATTAAGAAGTTAATAATTGCTCCCAGGAAAAATTCCATTTTTGGAAAAAAACCTCAATTAATGGACTAGAACAAATAACATATTTCATTTATATGCATGAAGAGTTTACTTGCTCCTTCAATCTTTAAAGAAAAAAAGCAAATTCAAGAAGAAAAAGAAAATTTCCTACTGGGTTTCTGAACAATGAGATGAAGTCAGGTTTGTGTTTCTTCAAAATCATGTCAAGAAGGTGGACAGCTTCAGGTTGTCTTCTCCAAAGAGCATTTCCCACAGTTTGCCAAATGTCTTTGTAAGGACCCCACAGACTAGCAGCTTAAAGAAAAAAATAAATAAAACCATCATCAAATAAAACATATCACAGCTACTTTTAAATATAAGAAGTTATATATGTTACACATAAACCACACGTTGACATAAAAGAATATTAAAATTCACTACCAATAATATAAATGTCATTTTATCTAACTTAAGATAAAATAAATACTGACTTTCAATTGAAATATCAGCCGAACCTGGTTTTGCCACTTTATTAGCTATGTGACATGGAATGAGAAAATAACCTCTTTAAACTTCAGTTCCTTATATATAAAATAGGGACACCATTGGCTTCACAGAGTTGAATGGAGTAAATGAGAGAAACTAGGTAAAACAATACAGTGTCTTGGCATATCATAGGCATTCAATAAATGTAACTGCCTTTCCTTCCCTCCCTATCATTCAAATGAAAAAGCAGAAATAGTAGGAAAAAATCAGATTTTGTAAAACTTAGAAGCTGAGAAAATAAGTACTTTATTCTGGCTGGGACACTAGCTATAAAAAAAACAGCATAGATATTTTGTAATAACCTATAATGGAAAAAAATCTGAAAAAGAATATATATATGTATGTATAACTGAATGAATAACTTTGCTGTACATCTGAGACTAACACAACATTGTAAATCAACTATATTTTAATTCTGAATTTTGAATTAGTTTTTTTAAAATAGAAATATGGAATTCTTTTGTAAACTCACATAAAAAGGGTCACATTTTCTTTGTAAAGATAATAACAATGGGTATCACAGAGCTTTTGGTATGTGCTACTGAGCATAGTTTGAAAAACATGACCCTGAAGCCCAAGGTTTCTGTTTGCAAACAACCAGATATAGTACCCCATGTGTTTACAAAGACTCTGAAAGAGAAACTAGTCAAAACCACTCACTCACTCAACACATGAATCCTAGAATTAAGTATAACTTAAACCGTAAAGGGTGGTTTGCAAACACGTTTAACTGCTATCTGAGAAAACACAAATCCCACTAAAGTTACCAGGACAGTCAGAATGACATGCAAGATAACTGTAACCTAATTAAATGCATTACAATCTTATGAACGACATTGTCAGAAGAAGGCAAAGTACTTGGCAATTTTGGGTTTTGTGTTTTTTTTTCCTGAAGGGATGTGCAGGTTCTGCTCCAAGGGACTTACCGCCTTCTGGCTCTAGAGATGAGCCCCCTCTGCCTCTCAGAGCACCAGCCATGACTGTTCACAGGCTTTAAAACAGAGCCCATAAAAGTTCTGTTTTTAGAACTAAGCTGCCCAGGCAGTATGTGCTTTTGAGCCAAACAATTTTAAAAATCACCCCCCCAAAATAAAAATCACCTCGTAAGCTAGAGCCTCCTTACAACTTTGAAATGTGCAATAAAGAATACCTGCGTTTTAGTTAATGTAGCATATGTAACTGCCAAATGATTTGACTGTCATGAAAAATATGAACACTTTCTGTGGAAATGCTATAAAGTACATGTACTTCCATTTATTATCCTATTTTTGTGTACACCAGTTAAATACAAAGCAATGGTATTTATAAGTTTGATTTTTTTAAAAATATCTGGTTACAAAGACTGGTATGCTAAAAATGTTTACTAAAAGATCACTAAACTTTATGCCCCCTCTTGCTTAAGTCCTTTGTAGTAATAGTTCATAAAAATTTGGTTATTAATATTTAAAAAAAAAAAAAGGGATGTGCAGGGAGAGGATAGACTAAACTAGTCAAGCTGGATCATTCATTCACTCAACAGACATTTACTGAGTGCCTTCTACGTACGAAGGACAACACACCAAGCAAGACAGACAGGATCTCAGGCCTCATGGAACTTAGACTGACAAGAAAGACAGGCATTAAATGCAGAATTCAAAACACAACTACTAGTCTAATAAAAGGTATGATGGAGAAGTACAGAGTGCTATGAGCACGTGTAAAAGAAAGAATCCAACCTAATCTGAAGGACAGGGCAGGAAGTTATGCGTCAGGTCTTTGGTGTGGGGACGTGGGAGAATGGGAATCATCAGTTAGCCCTCACACAGAGAGCGATCATCCCACTCCCTGCTTTGCTTCTCCTGCTTTAATCCTATACTTGTCAATCTTCTGATAAAAAAATATAACCTGTTATATAAATTCCCGGAGTAGAAAATGTGTTGACGAAATAACGTATGAGTACTCATGCAGACACACTTCCCACTAAACATCAATAAATTGGCATACTGGTTTATATATCTCTCTTTTCTGAGTCTGATTAGAGAAAATCACTTACTGGGATCTAATAAACTCTGGATACACTAACAAATATCAGAGTTCTGGGCCTGCTAAAATGAGGACCCAACCCTGGATCCTGGTGACTGCCTGTGAGGTGCTAGTTGGATGGTGACTAGCTGACTTCCCTAGAGATCATTTTCTTGGCTCTTTCTAGCTACAAAGGATAGAGCCTTGGATTCTAGGCCAAGATGAAATTTTTTCTATTAGTAAATGGGAAAGTTTCAAGTAGTGGATGACAAAATGAAACTGGACACTGGTGTGATGAAGGACTAACTAGAACAGGCAGCGTCAGGTACCAAGGATGACGGGTAGGGTTGGCTGCTCGTGAAGTGACAGAACCTAAACCAGGATGAGAGAAGCAAAACAGAAAGGCAAGGACTGTTGGTAGAGTCAGAACTGGTAACTGATTGGCAAAGAGTATAAAGGAAAGTTATGAAAATGACTCAGGCATATTTGAAACTTGCTTTACCAGAGGTAGTTTAAAAATCTGACAAAGAGTTAACAAAAGTATACCGTCTGTGTAAGCAACACTTAATAGAACCTCTGAAAAAAATTCTTTGCACTGTACATACTTAGGTTGAATAAGCTCAGTGAGTTCTACAGAAAATTTCATTTTTTCCCTTTTCTGGGGAGGAACCCAACAACATGTCAAAAATCTACACAAAAAACCCCCCAAGTACACCAGCCTCCTAAGTCCATCATTGACATTACACATAACAGACAGAAGATGATGATGACAAAGCTTTAACTTCAGTTTGTCTTTGATATGACTAATTTTGGTAAATATCTTCCTGTTACTGATTAGAAATAAAAGGAGGCTATAATGTTTTACAAATTACTAAACATGTATTTTTAACATAGTGATTTGTTTGAGAAATACACTTATTTTCCTAAACGTTGAGGGTACCTCCAGCAAATCCCATTTATTCACACATTCATCATGTATTAGGTGTGGGAAAGCTCACAGTATAGTGAGGAAGCACATTTACAACACAGTCATACAAAAGTGCAATATCCAATTTGTTAAGTGCTATGATGGAGAAGTACCAGGGCAAAGATCATATAACAGGTGAATTTTGCCTAGCCAGGGAGGTCAGGGAAGGGAAGCATTCACTGAGCAAGTGATGACTGGGCTGAAATTTGAAGGATAAAATTGGGAGTGAGAGGCGGTAAACAAACATTTCTGGAAAAGAGGACAGCATGTAGGTCCCCATGGCAAGAGGGAACACTGCACTCTCAAAGACCCAGGAAGGCCAAGAGAGCTAGAGCACCGAGAAGG